GCTGACCTTTTTGATTGAATCCTTGAATCAAGATTTTGCTTCTAGATAGATTACCAACATTAATTCCAATTTTCTTCATTGTTTTGACCGGCATAATATTTACAGCAAATCCACAATCAATCATCATGCGATTTATCTTGCACTCTCGAATATAACCGCTGACATACAATGGTCTATTATGTGGACGTGAACCTAGTTGTAAATCTCCATCGTCGAATGTTATGGCGGCCATACAGTATTGAGGAGTTGTGGCTCCAATATGTTCTAAAACTTTGCCTTCGTATTCTTCCGAATCGATTAATGTTGCGACCAAGGCCATCCGATCATCGAAGGGAAGGGCAAGAGACTCTGCTAGACTTGTATTGGCAGGAATATTATTGAGTCGTGAAATAGTTTTCTTCTATTTTGAAGTCTGCCTTGATACGTTCTTCATTTCATCTTTCTCCTCCACATTGATTACGTTGGAGGTTAGACATTCTTTATCAAAGAAACCCTTAGGAAAGTAATCACCCAAGGTCGGTAGTCTAGGAAGAACGCGTGGAGCTGCTCCCTCTTCGGTTGATTTAGTAGATACTCTCGGCTTGGCTTCAGGCCTCCTTTTTTTATTGTTCCTTGGTCTTGATTTCTTGTCACAAAAGTTAGAATTTGGGAGTCGTAGAGCCTTCCGACGACGTCTTTTCACTAGGGTCCATGCCCCCTGATCTTCTTCTAGCGTTTCTTCTTCATTGGGTTGAATTTTCGTATCCAATTCCTCCAGGTTTGTTCCTGCAAAAGGCGTAGAAGGTAATATTTTACCTATTTTGTTCGGCATTCTGTATTTCTCTTTCTTCTTTATGAAGGTAGACCAGCCGTCACCGATCTCGTCTTTTAATTCTGAGTCGAAATCCCAAACATCTAAGTCACCTGTCATAATTTCATAAAAGGTCAGATGATTGGGTGCACTTGGTCCATTCATCCTTGAATAGATATAACTGATGGTGATTTCTCCGTCTACCTCAAATTTCACTGGGATGGCTCTTTCTGGGAGTTGAGGTCCAAATTCCTCAACGGAGGATTTACAGGCATCGTGTACATCAGAGAATGTTTGTTTCTTTCCTGGAATGGGAATTGGATCAAATGATGCAAATGAAACCATCGAGCATGTGTCTGTTGGATTCTCTCCGATCTTAAGTTTGATCTTATTTTCTTTATCCAAGCGAACAATAAGATCTTTCAAAACAAAGCATTTTTCCACTGGATGGCTAATGATCCTGTCAAATTTACAGTATTTAGGATGATCGATTTTACCAACTTCCTTAGGTCTTTTTAGCATTGGAAGTTCGATTATTTTCTGTTCGAGGAGCTGATCCAGAATTCCAGAAACTTCTGAATCTGAGAATGCGTACTTCCTTCCTTCAAGTTCCTTTAAAGTCACATGACTTTCGCTTTGGACTTGTCCTTTGTTAGGTCTGAACTCTAGCTTCGGTTTTGAGTTTGAGCTCGACCTTTGGAATGCTATCTTTGCAGGAATAGTAGAAATCGCCATAGCCTCTTTGGATTTACTTATCTTGACATCCTTCTTTATATCCTTCTTAGGATCTTTCTTGTCACCTGGTAAATAACTTTCATGCCTTGCGATTTGGAGCTCCAGGTCATGAGCACGAGTCACCAATTTTTCGAATGAGTGAGGCATGTTTGCTTGGAGATTATAGAGTAACCCCCAATGCATGCCTTGTACACACATATCGATGGAAGATGCTTCACTTATTTGTTCTTTACAATTAAGCACAAGGTTTCTCCAGCGTTCAATGTACTTTACTATAGGCTCTTCCTTGCTCTGCTTTGTTCGAGCAAGTTCTGGAAGGGTGATAGTTCGTCGGGTGCTGTAGAAGCGTGTTAAGAACTCTCGCTCGAGTTGATCCCAACTATCAATTGACCCTGCCGGTAAGTCTGTATACCATTCAAATGCAGAACCTTTGAGGGAGCGTACGAACTGCTTCACCATTGTGTCATTGTAAGTACCTACATTGTTACACGTCTCAATAAAATGAGCAACATGTTGCTTTGGGTTGCCCTTTCCGTCAAAACATTGAAACTTCGGAGGTTGGTAACCAAGTGGCATCCTTATTTTGTCGATTCGACGACTATAGGGTTTCGCATATACCAATGAAGATTGCAACGAACCACCATATTGGGCACGAATGGTGTCCGCAATCATATGTTGAAGTTGTTGGACAGATAGAGAGCCAACAAAGAGTTAAGTGGCGTCACGCAACACATTTTGAACAATTGTTCGATCATGTATATCTTACTTTTGCTGATGCTCTTGGACTTCTAACTCTTTGACCTTGGAAGATCCTAAATTTTTCTAATCTTCTTTAACCGATGGATTTTACGACTCTAGTTTATGCATGAGTGTGGTAATTTGGGCATCTTTTTCTTCTAACGACTTTGTTAATTTTTCAATAGCTAAAGCCATTTGTTGGATTCGATCATCTAAGCTCGATGCCGCTTCTGTGACCATCACTGGCTCAAGTGATTCTTCAGATGAAGTATCATCTTCCCACTTTTGCTGAGAAGTAGCATGAGGGAATCTAGGTAAGGATCTACCATTGGAGATAGATCCCGAACAAGAGTTTTTTGTCGAACTCATGGTTTTTTGTGTCGAATGAGAGTTTGGCTTTTTGAAGGCAATTTTCATTCTGTTTTTGTTGGATAATTTCTTTAGTGGTGTGACCAGTTGAGTTTTTCCAGTTTTTGTTTGGGCCCTGGTCACGTGGAAGAGTTCAGCAAGTATCTCTTCGAGATGAGTCATAGTTTGTTTCGCCTTTTCGCCTGCCATTGATGATATAATATTTGAAACTTGAAGATTTTGAGATAAAATGATGAGAGGACAAGAAGGTCCAACCGGGCGTGCCAAGAAATTTGTACGACGAAATTTCGTGTATTAAAATACAGAAATCGTTACAAATTGTATTTTGATAAATACAAGTGATGTTGACCTTCTCGTAATTGCAAAATTGCAAAATCCTCTGATTAATTATCTGAATATTTGAAGACGAGGGGCCACGTGATTTAAATCCTGATCTTCAATAATTTGTTCAAAATTTGATTTGTCGAGATTCGTTTGGAACTTGAATCTTGAGGCTTAGACTTGAATTTGAATTTGATTTAATTTAAAGAACACTTTGATCTTTTTGGACTTGACGTGAACCTATTTGATTCGAAGAATATTTTAATCTTCTTGGGGTTCATCAAGTTAAGGCTTGATAGAACTTCTTCCCTTCTTTTAGCCTTGAGATTTTTTTAGCACTTCGTGGCGTTCTCTGCTTTCTTTTCTTGCTTGCTTTTTTTGATGTGTCCATCTTATGGACTATTGGTCTTATTTATAGGCAAGAATTCGCGCTAATTATGGTAATTACTCAATTACATCTAATTAAAAGAGATAATTGAGTAATTATGATTTTGTTTATTTGTTTGTTTATTTATTTAAAATGTGATATGGGCCTTTGGAATTATGGACCTTAGTAGATTTTAGTTTAATTGGGCTAATGATTTAAATCAATCCAATCCATTTCATCTTATTTTATTTTTATGTCTACAACAATCTTGTTTAATTGTAGGGGTGATTGCGGCAAGTTCGTCATCAAGTACATAAATTTTTTTAGTGTAGCACATAAAGTTGATGCAATCAACTAGGCATGGATACAAAATTGAAGAAATAAATTAGTATGTGATTTGTTTGAATTTAATGGGGATCCATAAATAATTGTACATATTTTTACATTTATTTGAATATTGTACATTTTATTCAGTCATTTGTAATTACGCCCCCGTTTGGTAGCCATTAATTGACAAAATACATTTTCCGTATCAAGTCAATGTGAGGTCCATATCATATTTTATTTTCCAAACCAATTCAAAATGTGCAAATTCCCATCTCTGCCTTATTTGTCCTTACTTGATTTTTTATTCCACAATTTCCACCCATGCACAGATCCGGGGCAATTGGAGGAAATGATAATGATAGGCGCCTGCACACTATTTAATGCCTTGTCAGAAATGGACTCCAAACGGTCCAAAAATGAATTAATGGGGGAAATATAATGGCTACCAAACAGCCTTTAGGAAAGAATTGTAAAATATTAATTATTTAAATGCTTAATTTAAATGTTTTATTATTTATTTAAATATTTATTGTTTACTAATTTAGTTTAACTAATAGTAAAATAATTAAAATAAATAGTTAAATATTAAATAAGTAATATAAGAATGTATTTTTGAATAATGTATTGATAAAAAATATGTGGATAAAAAGTAAGAAAAAAATTTAAATTTTTGTTTAATATCATTTTATTAAAAAATATATGATTAAAATGATATCAAATCACTATTTAATTTCCTGCTCATACGAATTTCCTTTGCAGCAAATCATTTAATTGTCAATTCACAACTTCATGAAAATTGGTGCCTGATGTCTTTACCTTACTGAACCAGCTTTGGTTCTCTGCTACAAATAAGCAGAAATGATTTTTTTTTCTTTCAATTGTACATATTTTTACGTTTATTTAAATATTGTACATTTCATTCATTCATTTGTAATTACAAAATAATTGTAAACTGTTGATTATTTACGTAATATTTAATTATTTATTTTACAATTTATGTGTTTGTTTGTGTGTATTGTGGAGAACGCATTGTGTCTAAAAAAAATTCGAATACTCGGATTTCAAATAATTAACATAAATAATATGTATAAATAATGTAGGTAACAAATGAAACTAATGAATGAAATGTTTAAATAACAAACTAAATCTAATAATTAACATAAATAATATGCATAAATAATGTGAGTAACAAATGAAACTAATGAATGAAATGTTTAAATAACAAACTAAATCTAATAATTAACACAAATAATATGCATAAATAATTAACGTCAATATTATAAATAATTACATTGCCAATAGTTATTAATAAATATAAAATTACACATCTGTTACATTGTCATGCAGATGAATCTAACTTATACAATATCTTCTAGTATGCCCTATTGCACCACACTTACGATGCTGGAGAAACTCTCTGGTAAATGGTATTCTAGACGTATGTGTATGTTCAGGAGTATGTGGTCCGACTGCTGGTGGCAACAAGTTATTAAGTGGGAGAATATGGTCGGGAACTTCCCACTCGACTTTGTTTGGTACAGGAAATATTATCTCCGCATACGCTGCTTTCCAATAATCAGTCATGTAATACGGACTGCATAAGGTGTGTGGTGGAAATCCTCTATGCATAGCCACTTTCACTGCATGTGTACACGGAAAACTCTCCAACTGAAACTGTTTATACGCGCACGTGTTATCATTCAAATCCACGATATATCCGAAATTACGTGCACATCTCACGGAGAAGCGAAACTGATCCAGTGATTCTACATATACCTTTCTCGCCACATCTAGAGTCTTGAAGAGTTTATCTTCCTGAACTGAGGTTAGCATACTTGTACAACTCTGTGATTCTTCACGTCTATCATGAAACCACTGTTGTAGCTTGTCACGAATGTTCTCAATCATTGCGAGAATTGGTAACTCTCGATCTTTCTTGAATAAAGCGCTAAGCGACTCTGCATTGTTCGACGTCATCATGTTGTATCGACGTTCTAGGAAATGTGATTGTGCCCAATGTTCGATCCCCATCCCTGTTAGATACTTCCATGCAACATGCGATTTACTGTCTATTTCGACCATGAACTTCTCAAACTCTCCAAAACTATAAACCTTTGCAGCTCTCCTAAATAACGCAACGATGCCTTTGCCTCGATGCCCGGTCTTCAGGTTTCCCTGTATATGGTACATACAATACCCATGATGTGCCTCAGGGAAGACTTCGGCGATACCATTTATTATTAACTTCCCTCGATCGATTACGAATGCAAGGTTTTTGACATTCCCAATTACTTCCCTCAACTTCGTGAAAAACCAACTCATCGCTAGATCATTTTCTCCATCGTCTATACCAAACGCAAGAGGGTAAATTTGGATGTTGGCATCTTGACATGTTGCAATAATCAACTTGCCCCCGTATCTCGCCTTAAGGGTTGTACCGTCGACTAGGATTAGGGGTCGCATTGCTTTTAGAAATCCTCGAACGCATTGTCTAAGGGCCATAAAGAAATACTTGAAGCGATTATCGTCATCCTTCTCAATAAAAAATACCGATCCAGTATTAATTTTTCCCATGTTATAGCAATATCTGACCAATGTAAATAAACAATAATCATAATTTAGATAATCTATTCAATCTGAAATGAACAGAAAAATAAACTATTCAATTCTATATTAATTACATACTAAATAAATAATTGAATTACGTAATTACGTAAACAATTGAAATAAAATAATTAACAATTAAAATAACAAATTTATAAACACCTAAACAATGAAATACCTGGCTAATTTAGCATGACTTTCCTCGGTCGAACCCATCAAGTCCTCCAATGCACATTCTTTGGCCTTTCCAACCTTCTGATAGCTCATGACCACACCGTAATCTCGTCGAATGTCATTAATGATGTTCGAAGGTGGATCATTCGCGGGTCCTGGAACTTGTGCATTATTTCTCGACCAATGAACCATGATTAGGCATGCCGATGATCATTTCGACTAATACCCACTTCGCAAGTGTGTTCCCGTGCATACTTACAAACTACAAAGAACTCATTCATGTCCATCTTCGTTGCTCGCAAACGCCAATGGCAACTGCCATCAACGCAGATAATTGTGTAAGTCAACTTGTTTGATTTCTTCACTTTAAACTTGAAGTTATGCCTTAAAGCAATCTGGTGCACAGCTTCTTGCAATTCTTTCTTTGATTCGAACAGTTGCTCGACATACATATCTTCATCATCGGGAATCACACATGAACAATTAGAGGACCGTGTACTCAGTCTGGCCTGTGAGCTCCCACCCGACTCATGTATCCTACAGGATAAAGCAATCAAATCCTCATTTGTAAATGTATTTTCATTCTTGTTGTCTTCAACTGTCGATGGAATTCTGTGCCTAGCAGTGTGATCATGGTGAGTAGTAGTGGTCTCGGGAATAACCACATCGTCTTCATGAACAATCTGAATTGTATCACAAACGTCATTTACATTACAATTCTCTTCATCGAAAACTTAATGTTCACCCTCGGTGACATTCTTCCGTAATAAAATTACGCAAATAGGAGTCGACTTTTGGTCTTGGTTCAATTTAATTAGATGCTTCATCTCCACTTCAGAAGTAACTTTCGTAGGTGGAATCGAAATGGTTGAATGCTTATGAAACAAAAATCCCAATTCCATATCATATTGAGAGGGATCGATGTTAAGCATGTTTTGTATATCATGGTACATTTCTGTAAACGATGTACTCCTTGTTATAAAAATTACTTTAACCCCATCTCCTTTACTCGTCCACTTCCATTCCTAGTGAGCATTTTCATTCTTCTGATATTCACCGAAAAAACAAATTGGGACACATGCTGGTGTCATATCTGCCACAAATTAAAAATATTAGATAATAGATTAAACATAAGGAATTAATATATAATTTTTTAAATTGTTCATTTCATATTTAATTTAATTTTATACTTATAATAATTCATTGATTATTTTAATTGTTTCAAAAATATTTATTTCAATTAGTATTAAATATTCATTAATATTTACTTTAATAAATTGCATTAAATATGAACAAATAAATTATAAAATCTTAAACATTAAAAAAATAAATAAATAACAAAAAAATTAAAAAAAAAAGGATGGCTCATACGTCCGGGCCAGCTGGAATTTTTTTCCTCCTGAAATAATATGAATACAGATGAATTTCTTTCTTCTTTTTTGCTAAACAAATAATACATCTGTGTTTAATACTGTAATAATGCATCTGCCTTTGTCGAAATAAGATTTAAAGATTCAAACAGTATACTAATTTAACTAAAACGAAATTAAAAATACGTATTTACACTTACAAATTTCGAGTGCTGACTATGAGTAATATTTTTTTGTTGAACCTTTGATAATTTTGTGAGGTTTTCAGTGTTCTGGCAGATGGAAGAGGAAGTTTCTTTTTAATTGTGTTGAAGAAACTGATAAACAAAATTGATTTTGAAATTTACATGGAGAAGTGATTGAATTTATTTAAACTTTTAAGGGTATTATTGTCTCTCAAAGAATTAACATGTTCTTGTAATTATGGAACATAATAAGGGCACAATTGTCTTTTTCAACACAAGAGGCCAATGTGATAAATGAAAATAAATAAATAAATTAGTCAAAGTGCAAAACTTGTTCCTTGACTCAACCAATTTGAAAAGTACCCCTCTACAAGAGCAGCCAACACTCGCACTCAAGAATAGTTAAGTCTATTATGTCCTTGGTGTATTCTAGTTTTATAAAATTTGAATTTTACCCACTAAATGTTGCCAGTTTATTCTATTTATTTATATTTATATTTATATTTATATTTTGGGTTTTAGGAAAATGTGTCCTGAAATTAATACTTTATTATTAAAAACTATCTTATGAGTAGCCTTTGCCAAAGAAGTAATCTGTACTCACAAGGCCTACATAGTTATGGAACCTCTTAATATGTGCCCTTCTTAAAGTCCATCACTGTGGAAACCTTTGTCTATTACGAGCCCTGATCGATCAAGATCATTGCGAGAGAAAATTATATGTAACAACCAAGATAATGAAAGAAAATTAAAGTAAATTATATTCTTTAAACCCTTAAAAGGGTATATTGTTTGGTTGGTTAGTAATTCGTAACTCGAAAATAGTCCTCTAATCTCAATTTTTAATTCACACCGTGATTAACATGGAACAACAATTTAAAAATGGAAATCCAATAATTTTTCATAGCAATAATATATCTAAGATGAATGAATATATTCAGAACCTTTGGGAATATCATAGATTAAAAAGAGAGAAAAATGAAGTGCTATATTTTTTAATATTGTGAAGGCATTATTGGAAGATTTGTTCAATCACTCTCTTAGTCAAATAGGAGAGACTTCCTATAATTGTTACGGGCAACGATTGATGCAAGTCTGGATGCCTCTCTGAATCAGCCACTTAAATTCGATATGAAAAAGGTAAAGTTTCTGATTTCATTATTAGTTTGTTAAAATACATGCCTTTCATCGTTATGCTTGGCTCCCACCAGTGGTTAACTTTGTTCAATTTCGTTACAGGATAAGAAGGTTTCACAACTTGAGCAGGTGTTCATGCGAGGCTGCAAAGTCAGGTTGGCATTCATTCATTTTGGACTTGTTGGCTTGCCTTTTATAATTTTAGTCAGCACTGTAATTAACACTAAATCCCCGGGCTTATGATAATACTGGTGTTGACACATAAAAATTCAGTCCAAATTAAACGGCCCAAGGAATGAAGTCCAATTGGAGGATCCCCAAATTAGATAGCCCAAAGAATGAAGCCCAATCAGACAATTCAGGATGAAGGCCCAAATAGAGAGGCCCGTGAACGCGGTAACACCATCGTCCAAGCTTACAAGTCGCCCAAGATCTGAGCGAATGAAATGCCATGCAGTCTTCCAGAGCTGCTACTCTATTCTCGCCCAAACCTTCGAGTCGTCCAAGGTCTTAGCAAACATGAAGTATTATGGTTATCAAGAAGTGCAGTTATCAAAGCAGTTATTAAGCAGTCCTATCACGTTCCACGATTCAAGGAATTCGATCAAAAACGGTTGAACGACAAAAAGTAATGGCAGCAGTTAAAAAAGGTAGTTCCATGACAAGTTGGCCATTACGAGGAAAGTGGACAGTTATAGAACGATCAAACAGTTTTTAGGCGATTGATCACAAAGAGATCATCCAGGGAGTATAAAAGGAAGAAAAGACATAGAGCAAAAGATCCCGAATCAAAAACTCTCGAACAGAGAACATGTAATTTTAAATTTCTTAGTTTAGATTTAAACACTTCTTTCAGTAACTCGTGTGCTTGCGCTCCTTGGAGGCATTCTGTTTTTACTTTCCGATTGTAAAGACATCGCCAATAAAGAACACCCCTTTTTGAGACTTTGTCTCAAGAGGTTTGTCCCTTACACAATCGTCTGATCCCTTTTTAATTGTTAGCGACGAACCCGCGCGAAACAATTTGGCACGCCCAGTGGGACAGTGGTGTTTGGTGTTGAAAATACAAAAGGTGAAACAATATGCCTCAGAGATCCGATAAGGAAGCAGCAAGTCAGGGAGGAGTCCAGTCTGTGATCGAGCGATATGAGGAGCAGCATGCGTCTCCACGAACAGATGGACAGAATCAGAGCAGTAACAGTCGTTACGAACCAATGACAGAGTTGAGTCCTCGAACCATGCGTGCACTACTTGGAGAACTCACACAAGATGTCGTTGAACAGGTAAATCTTCGAAATATTCATAATATGGAAAGATTTACCCAAATGGGAATGCACATTATGACAACATGGCCAAACAACTAAACACTTTGAACGAAATAATGAATAAGTTAGTAGACCAAATATGTCAACCGGTTATGCCTCTTGCAAGTCACTTTCAAATTAGGACAATTGTGGGACATAATCCCTCAGTCCTAAATCCGAATCAAGGGATAGAACCACTTTCTGGTCCCTCTACTTCAAACCAAGGGGGTGGTGCAGTGTCAAATCAGAACAATGGTAGTGGTACACCTAACTTGGGGGTAATCCAAACATAAGAGATAATATCCTAAACAATGAACAGAATACCCCACGTGTTAATGAGGGAGTAGATGTTTAGGCTAATGATAATGGCCCTAATCATGGTAACTTTGTTGCCAATCAAGGACCAAACATCAGGCCTCATGCAAATCAACCGGTTAACCAACCTGTAGGAATTCCATATGACCATATGACCCCAACGTCATGTTGAGGAATCAGATTATGGAAATCGTAGACCAGATGGCTTTTGGGGTGCGTCTTGTCATTAGGCCGACTTACACAAAGCCATATCCTGATTGGGTAGACCAAGCATATCCATGGCCTAGAGGATATAAAGTGCCAGAATTCTCACTGTTTACCGGTTTAGGAGAGGTGTCTACTCTAGAACACATAGGGCGATTCACATTGCAAAGTGGCGATGTAATTGATTACCATAAAATGAGGCTTTTCCCTAGTTCATTAACAGGAGTAGCTTTCTCCTGGTTCATCAACTTGCCAGCGAACTCTGTTCAAACCTGGCAACAATTGGAACAATTATTCCACGCTCAGGTTTATAAAACTGAGTCTGAAGTCACTTTGGCTGATTTAGCGAATCTACGTCAAATGCCAAACGAATGGGCAGAAAGTTTTCTCCAAAGGTTCAAGACAGCAAGAAGCAAGTGTTTTGTACCTCTGGCCGAAAAAGAATTTGTCAAAATCGCTCAGGGCTGTTTAAGCTTTGATTTAAAAAAGAAATTCCAAGACAAGGAATTTCCTGACCTTTTCCAGTTGAGTACGAATGTGATTAGGTATGAACGACTGATAAGAGAAGAAGAGCAGATGAAAAATTCTAGTAAAGGGACTTACTACAAAGACCCAAATTTTGACGTTCATACCATCAGCGACGAGTCATACGATCAAGCCGAAATGTGTTTGGCCGA